TGCATAAACCCATAATGAGAAACTTTCCCAAACGACGCGTTATTGTTAACGGTATCGATGACACTTGGTGCTCTGACTTGGTGGAGATGCAGAAGTTTGCAAAGTGGAACAAGGGTTATCGTTATCTGTTGATGGTGTTGGATATTTTCAGCAAATACGGTTGGATTGTACCGTTGAAAAATAAAAATGGTGAGAGTGTTGCGGAGGGATTCAAAAAGATTTTCGCTGAAGGGAGAAAGCCAAAGAGATTGTGGACGCATAAAGGATCAGAGTATTACAATACTCATGTCAAAGATCTATTGAAAGCTAACGGTGTTGAGTTGTACTCGACAGAGAATGAAGAAAAATCTTCTGTGTGTGAGAGATGGAATCGTACGATCAAAACGAAAATGTGGAAGCAATTCACAATTCAAAACAACACGGTCTATCTCGACATTCTCCCGAAGATTGTAGAGAAGTACAACAATACAAAACACAGATCGATTGGTATGACACCTGTTGAGGCATCCAAAAAGAAGAATGAAAATGCTGTCTATTTGAAACTGTACGGTGAAGAGCTGAGCGAAATGCGGGAAAAACCTAAGTTTGCGGTCGGTGATCATGTTCGTATTTCAAAATACAAGCGAAAGCTCTTCGATAAGGGGTACACACCGAATTGGTCTGAAGAGATCTTTGTAGTTGATGAGATACAGTATTCCAAACCCATCACTTATAAGTTGAAGGATCTACTCGGTGAAGAGATCAAAGGCTCTTTTTACGAACAGGAGATGTTGAAAGCGAAGCAATCAGACCTTTTCAGAATTGAGAAGGTCATTCGAAAAATTAAAGGAAAGGCTCTCGTAAAGTGGAGCGGCTATCCTGAGAAATTCAATTCGTGGATTGATGAAAGTGATCTTCAGAAGTTATGAAAAAAATCTTAAAAAAATGTTTAATATATAACAAGATAACAAGATGGATGATAACAAGAAAGATGAGCTTGACACTCTTACAAGGTGTGAGTTAATAGAAAAGATAAAAGTAATGAAAATGTCGGAATCTTTGTTAATTCAAAATGTACGCATTCTCAGGAAAGAACTGCAGTTGGATCCTCACCTACCGCTCCTGTCGGAAGTGTGGGAAGATGTAAGCGAACTTCGGAAAAAATGAAAAATGGGTTTAAAAAAAATGTTTGTATTAAATAAGTTAATAAGATGGATGAGCTTGACACTCTTTCAATGCGTGCGTTAATGCAAAAGGCAAAAGAAATGGGATTGAAACGAACTTATTTACTTGACAAAGAAGGGATAATCGCTCTCATCAGAAATGCGCCTGAGATGGATCTTCTCGAGACTCTGTTGAGAAGCGAACTCCTTGAAAAGGTAAAAAAGATGGGATTTCGTGGATATACCAAGAAGAAGAAAAAAGAATTGATTGAATTGTTAAAAAACCCACAAGACGCGCCACCTTGCCGTGCAAGGTATAATGGTGTGAATAGAAGGGTGATATTATCGCCTGCAGATTCAAATAAAACTGAAGATAAACTCGTTTTCCCCACAATCAGCGCCGCCTCAAAACATTTCAATGTAAACCCTGGAAAGTTTGGAATGAAGCTGAAATCGCGTAATGAAAGTATGAGAAACTTTATTGAACTTAATGGAGAGAAATTCGCTCTCCGTTTCGAAGCTTACAGTGTGAAAGAAAAGTGTGAAGAAGAGGCCTGAGGCCTAAAGCGTAAGTTTTCATGACTTGGAACGAGTGATGAAGATATATAGATAAAACCAAATATGAAGCCAAAAACAAATATTGAAGATAGAAAACTAACCAACCAAAACTACTCGCGGCTACTCAAAGTATTGAGAAATCCGTCGAGACCTCAAACTCAGTAGCACTACTAGCACTAACGCTAGTACTAGCATTGCTACTACTAATAGTAAAAACTGTTTTTAAATCGAAAAAAATGGGTTTAAAAAGAAAAATATTACCTTGAATATATACAAGTTCATCATGAATAGAATTACAGTCGCACGACTTAATCGGATGGTAAATAAAAATATCCGTCCCGGCCATCGAAAAATCGTGTTCACGTTACCTAACGTTAATCAACCAAGACCACGATTCAGCGGCGGTGCTGCTGCAGTGGGTTCAGAGGGAGGGCCTCTGCTCGACCTTCCAATTCCGCAACAGATCAACAGATCTGGGGCTGAGAGCGCGGGACGATCTGTTGATCTGCTCAACGCCCCGATTCCTCAACATGAGATACCTAAAGGAGATATATTAAAACCATCAAAACCGAGACCAACACCACCACCGAAACTTGAGAAAAAGATAGATAAGGCTGTTGAAGCTGGAAAGAGAAAAGTAGAAGATTGGGGGAAATGGCTAAAAGATCAAGTCGAGCGAGAGTCTCTGAACTCTGCGCCGAGAGTTGTTGATGACGCTTTGAAATCATTCAAAGACCATATCAACGAATTATACAAAAATAGTGACCAGTACCGATTCAAACTTGTTGAGGCTATGTCCTCTCTGCGGGGATTCGCAAAAATGTACACGATTGATGGTGTGGGAGGTTTTTCACCCTTAGATTTTCTCAAGGCTGTAAAATCAACCGTAATCAACTTTCTTTTGACGCAGAAGAATTTGAAGGTGAAGTTCGTTTTGAGGTGTAATATGGGAAAGACGAACATTGCAACCGGTGAGACTGTAGAACAGGTTGCGTCTTTTACTTCTTCACAAAAGATTGTCTTTGAACAGACCGATCGGGAAGAACTCTACCGGAGGTGCGTGAGGAAGATGATGGAGAGCTTAGCTACGTTTACGCGAAACGGGAGCGGTTGGGTTGTCAACTCTGTTGACGGACTTGATTTGCACACGGTGAAATACTCTCCTTTGAAAGGATCATCATACAATGAGCTTCCAAAACATCTTGCAAACAAGAAGGCTATCATCAATATGAAGAATAAAGACGAAGAGTGTTTCAAATGGTGTGTCACAAGAGCTTTGAATCCTGTGGAGAGGAGGGATCAAGAGCGTATCTCAAAGATTTTGAGAATGGAAGCAACTCATCTTGTGTGGGATGGGATTGAGTTTCCGATGCAGGTGAAAGATATTTCCCGTTTCGAGAAGATGAATGCCGGTCTTGGTGTCAACGTTTACATGTATGAAGGTGGGCTTAATCCCTTGAGAGTGAGCGATGTTCAGAACATCAAAACTCATGTCGATCTCCTTCTTATTTGTGAAGGTGAGAAAACGCATTACTGTCTCATCAAGTCTTTGAGTCGACTCATATCGAGTGATTTGTCGAAGAAGAAGGCGAAGAAATACTTATGCCGGAGATGTTTGAATTATTTCGGGTCACAGAAGCTTCTTGACACTCACGATGAGCTTTGTCGAGATCACGATGCCGTACGAGAGAAAATGCCGGAAGAGGGAACTTATCTCTCTTTTAAGAATCACCACAAGAAGATGGACATGCCGTTCGTCATCTATGCAGACTTTGAATCGATCATTAAACCTTTACACACCTGCCAACCCAATCCTGATGAGTGCTACACCGAGAAGAAACAGCAACACATCCCTGTGTCTTTCTGCTACTATGTGAAATGTACGTTTGACGATAGATTTTCGAAACTGTTTGAATACACAGCCAAGTCTGAAGATGAAGATATTGCCCAGATCTTTGTTAACTTTTTGGAAAAAGAGGTCAAGTCTATCTATGAATTCCCTCTTCAAGAGATGAACTTCACAGAGCGCGATGCTGAAATCTTTGAAAACGCGAAAACGTGCTGGATATGCGGGAAAGATTTCAAGATAGAAGGTCTGGAAGAAGTAGAAGGTCTAGAAGAGCTATTAGAAGGGAAAGTTCGCGATCATTGTCACTACACTGGGAGGTTTCGCGGAGCTGCGCATAACAGCTGCAACCTTAGATTTCAGCGTCCTAAATTCACTCCAGTGGTTTTCCACAACTTAGCAAACTATGATTCGCATCTCTTTGTGCGCAATTTAGGTGTTTCAGAAGGTGAGATCAAATGCATCCCCATAACGAAGAAAAATACATAAGCTTTGCGAAGGATGTTGTGGTCGACAAGTTTTACGATGAAGAGGAACAAAAAGCCGTTGTTGTCAAGAGAGAGTTGCGATTCATTGATAGCTTCAAATTCATGGCTTCTTCTCTTGACAGGCTTGTGGGCAACCTCGCCAGCGACTCTTTTGAGAACCGTTGTTGTCAAGAGAGAGTTGCGATTCATTGATAGCTTCAAATTCATGGCTTCTTCTCTTGACAGGCTTGTGGGCAACCTCGCCAGCGACTCTTTTGAGAATACAGGAAGTTATTACCGTGGAGAAAAGCTTAATCTTCTGAAGAGAAAGGGGGTGTATCCCTACGAATATATGGATTCTATCGATAAGCTTGATGAGACTGAACTTCCACCGATTGAAGCTTTCTTCTCTGTTCTCAGGGGTAGCGGTATCTCTGAGGAAGACTATGCTCACGCTCAAAAAGTGTGGAAAACCTTCAAAATGAAAACGTTGCGAGATTATCATGATCTTTACAACCGAAGTGATGTGTTGCTGTTGTGCGATGTGTTTGAAAGTTTTCGAAAGGTTTGTAAAGAAAATTACGACTTGGACCCTTGTTGGTATTTCACCGCGCCTGGTTTGTCTTGGGACGCTTGTCTCAAAAAGACTGGGCTGAAGCTTGAGTTGTTGAGTGACCCAAACATGCTACACTTCTTCGAAAAAGGCATTCGTGGAGGGATTAGTATGATCACGACGAGATATGCATTGGCGAACAATAGTTATATGGGAGAAAAGTTTGACCCCACCCAACCTTCAAAGTTCATCACATATTTGGACATGAACAACCTCTACGGAGCCGCTATGCGGATGCCGCTGCCTACAGGCAACTTCAACTGGGAAGATGAGGAGGCTGATTGGGTTTCCCCTGCGCTATCGAAGTTGATTTGCCTCCTATCAAACATGAACTGCATGATTATTTCAACGATTACCCCCTCGCCCCAGAGAATATGAAAGTTGACAAAGTGTGCAAGTTAGTGTGCACGTTGGGTGAAAAGAAGAAATACATCGTGCACCATGAAACACTGAAGCTTTACAAATCTCTTGGGATTGAAATAGGGAAGATTCACCGCATCCTTAGGTTCGATGAGAGCCCTTGGATGAGAGGATATATCGATTTGAATACGGACTTACGAGCCCTAGCTCAGAATGACTTCGAGAAAGACTTTTTCAAGCTAATGAACAATTCATGCTTTGGAAAAACGATGGAGAACATTCGGAAACGTGTGGATGTGAGACTTGTAAACTCGGAAGAGAAGGCGAAGAAGTTAGCGAATAAGGTTAACTTCAAACACTGCACCATCTTCTCCGAGAATCTGTGCGCGATTGAGATGAGGAAAACACAAGTTTCCTTCAACAAACCGCTCTATCTCGGAATGAGTATACTCGATCTCAGCAAAACACTCATGTACGACTTTCACTACAATTACATCAAGCCCAAGTATGGAGACAGAGCAAAGCTTTGCTTCACGGACACAGACAGTCTCTGCTATGAGATTCAGACCGATGATTTCTACAAAGATATTTCTTCTGACGTGGAGTGTTTGTTTGACATAAGTAACTTTCCGAAAGATCACCCTTCTGGGATACCAATCGGTGTGAACAAGAAAGTTGTGGGGATGATGAAAGATGAGGCTGGGGGGAAGATTATTGAGGAGTTCGTGGGTCTGAGAGAAAAGCTTTACTCCTACAAGATGCTTGAGGGTAAAGAAGAGAAGAAGTGTAAGGGGGTGAAGACAAGTGTCGTGAAACGTACCATCAGCTTCGGTGACTATAAGAAATGTCTATTTGGCGGTGGGCCACAGCTTCGGAAGATGAACACGCTTCGCAGTCGAAAGCATGCGATGTTCATGGAAGAGATCAACAAAGTCGCTCTGAGCGCTGAGGATGATAAGAGAATCATTCTACCGGANTTCGTGTATATGTACCGAAACGTAACGCAACAAGAAAAACAAGGACAGAGGAAAAACGTCACGGACTAAGTTCAACTAAACAGCGCCCGCTGTTCACTGCTTTGGAGTAGCTGTAGCTCAAGCTGACTTGACTCTAAGAGTTCTACATCACACGACGGTTGATTGACAAATGGTCCAGTGGGACCTAAGGCTCCTTTTATAGCGCGCCTTCGTGTTTAAGATAAGGCTGTTTAAAGTATATTCATCAAAGTTAAGTAATTTAATTTTAATTGAATGTCGTGGAACTAAAAACAAAGGTAATCATTGGTCACGACTACCGTAGGAAAATACTACAAGGAATCAGTTAGAACTCAAGGAAAAGCAAAGCCCGGGAAAAAGTGCGTGACCAAGTCACTGCTGCGGGCCTTTCCTTGGCGTCTGATTGGCTGAGAGGGAAGCACGAGTTTTCACATCCAATCACCTTCGCACAGTAGAGAAAAACTAATGCAATTTAGATCGATGTCCACTTCCAATACGAAGTCTGCTCCAATGTGATGCTCTATTTGCAGGAATTTGGACTGGACATGTTCTTTCGCCAACGTTGGGAAGACAGGAGGCTTAGTCATAACATGACAGCTATGATAACCCTTACAATGGGAACGAAACACCCAGCTGACTACATCTGGGTCCCAGACACAATGTTTGTGGACGCTACTAAATCTTATATGCACAATGTCCTTACTACAAATCACAAGGTGGATATCTCTGCAATGGAAGAGGTAAACTGGGGAGCTAGGTTAGTTTATGACCCCGATATATCCTGTCTATCTTACATGAAAATGTCTCTTCAAGAGTGAGGGTTCACGCAGTTATCCAGAGAGCTCTACCTGAATTAGGTCTGAATTTGTTTGGAATTGTGATTGTGAAATCAGGTTACGCCGTAATGATAAGTAGAGTTATTAAGTCCCCTCTTGGGTCTTTCCAGTTCCAGAATCGATGCCCTTTGCGCCTCCACATCTCGATCATGCAAAGTGAATTGATGAAAAAAGAATAGGAAAAAAAGGACGCGTTGAATTAACGGTTGATGCGCTGGACTCCAGGCCGAGAGGTCCTGGTTCGAAACTAAGCAAGGTCGTTATGTTGTGTTTTTGGAGAGGAGACACTTTACTCTCACAGTGCCACAGTCTCCACCCGGGAGAGAATGGTCATTGATGGGTACAGGCAAACTATCAGGGAGAAATACCTGCGAGAACCTGCGATGGACTGGCACCCTATCCTATCAGGGGTGAGAAGTAATACTTCTAATGGCCCCATGCTACAGAACTGGGACAAGCCAATATGATCATGACCCTTTAAAAATGCAACCGTGGCCGTACGAAGCAGATTTTTTGCACTGGGCAAAAATGGTGACCTCTCTGCCATCTTTAGCATTCTCTTGTTTATCAGTTCAATTAAATAAGTTGTTTTTAATCAAAACCAACCTCGTTCCGAGGGCCTTTTCCCTTAGATGGAGGTGGGGCCCATCCCCAGCCAAGGGAAAAGGCCCTGAGAACGATGTAGACTTAAAACTACTAGAGCGCGATTCCACTCTTACCATACAACCGGGAAATATGGCTAAGATGACAGCTGAGACCTTTTTTTCCACTTTAATTAACAGAGCAACTCTGACAGCAAGGTGCCACATGAATTTCCGCACGTTTCCCATGGATGAACAAACCTGCTCCCTGAGTATTGTGAGCTGTAAGGGCTGCACAGTTTTTACAATTACCCAATGTGCATAACTGACCTGAAAATAGGAGTAAGTTTGAACGGAAGGACCACGCGATGGGCTAA